ATTTCCTTTTTGGTAGGAAAGCAATCAAGTCAACAATTATAAATGTTTTTGAGTTGTGTTTAAATGCTGTTTCTGTTTTTTAAGTGGCAGTTGTGCAGCATTTTTTGGCGTCAAGAAAGATTAAGCGGTGTGAATTATACTCACAGAAGGGGGTTTTCACCCCCCTTCACCTCTCATTGCTCACTAGCAGCTCAACACAGTCACAACTTTTCACACACAGAGAACTAACAGTGAGTGCGTTTACATGCAATAATCCAATAACTGCAGAAAATCAGATTCTGTCAGTAATCTGATCAAAGTGTTTATGTGCGCTTGAGTAATCAGATAATGGGGAAACTCCAGGTTTACATGAGTCAGGCAGTAATCAGATTTCTGCTTTGCAACCAGCCAATAAACCTAATGTAAAACTCAAACCTTATGTCGCATTGTTAAAAAAACATTGCACCACTTTACCTGAAAATATGAACATACATCACCTAGAAGATGAAGAATATTTAAACACTTTATTTCGTCGAGAGTGTAGTCGGTTTCAGCGTTGCTCCAAAAGTGTTTTGCTGCGTCTCGCAGCGGCGCCATTTGCCTATTTTCTGGAACAGCAGTCTGTTCCGCACATGCGCAGACTGAGAAATCAGAAAGAAATCAGAGTAAGAGTTCACATGCACTGAGAAATCTGATTACTGAGCTAAAATCCAGCTGTTCTATTTCTCGGATTCCTAGATCAGAGTATGCTGTTTACATGTACATTTCAATAATCAGATAACTGCAGAAATCCGATAATGATCGGGTTATTGAGTGCATGTAAACACACTTAGTGTTCTAACTAATCTGATAACAGAGTTACAGGAAAATATTTTATTTGATTACATTAATTAAACATATCCTAGTCCACTCGCAGGCCTGAATGAGGCTACAGAACTGCCAGTTGAAAGGTTCTTTGCTGCTCTTCTATGTCTATAAAGAACCCTTTTGGCATCATTACGGTAACATCATGAGTGCACTCAGGGTTGTGCATGTGTTTTGTTATCCTCCTCTCGTTCCTCCATCTGGTTCTCATTTTGGCCTTTTTAGCACTTTTGGGCCGACGTTAACTTTAAAAAGGTGATAACACTTTAAAGGAAAGGTTTATTGAAACCAGTTTTACCTCAAACATAATTGAAGTCTGTTTAGACTCTTATTATATTATCCTCATAACTCCAGTTTACAACAAAGAAGACAATGCCTGACACCAAACATGTCGTGGTCCATCGACTGTTTGGGGTTCGGGGGAAATGTGTAATATTCTCAGAAGAAACTGAGGGGAGAAACTGAGGGGAGAAACTGAGGGGAGTCTCAACATCAGCTTTAAATTATAACACACCGTATTCAGTTCAAATTTTCGATCCATATTTTAATTGTTAACATTTTTGTAATTACATTTACATAGTAATAACTCTGTTATAACTAGCATAATCTGTGTGTTTGGAAATCCTAGCTCACGTGTATTGATCGGCTCTGCTCACTGCTGTCTGTCGCATTTTGTCTGGTCTGCAAATGGTTTGATTATTCCAGGAGCCTCATGACTCTGCAGCCAAAAATGTGAGATTTGCCTGCGAACTCTCTCCTGTGTGTGTGTGTGTGTGTGTGTGTGTGAGTGTGTGTGTGTATGTGTGTGTGTGTGTGTGTGTGAGTGTGTGAGTGTGTGTGTATATGCGCACATGTGTGTACGTGTGTGTGTGTGTGTGTGTATGTGTGTGTGTGTGTATGTGTGTGTGTGTGTGTGTGTGTGTGTGTGTGTCTCCCTCTCTGGATCTATGCAGTCATTTCCTCAGAGACTCAATGCAAACATTCCCACTTTTCTCAGAGGAAGTGACTCAATTCACTTTCTCTCCCTCTCTGTCTGTGTCTCTCTCTCTATTTCTCTCTCTCTCTCTAACTCTCTGTCTATCTGTCTCTCTCTGTCTCTTTGTCTCTCTCTCTGTTTCTGTTTCTTTGTCTCTCAATCAATCTCTCCCTCTTGCACTATTTCTCTCTCGCTTTTTTCTGTTTCTATATCTTTCTCTCTCTCACTCCATCTGTCTCTCTCCTTTCTGTCTCTATCTCTCTCTCTTTGTCTCTCTCTCTCTCAGTTCAGTTCTGAACAGTTTTATTGACGTGACAGTGTCAGTGCAGAACTGCCAAAGCATTACAGCAGTAGCAACAACGCAACAACAAAAATAACAACAAGAACTAAAGCAAAAAAACAGCGATAATAATGATGATAATGATAATAATCACATTATTATTGTCATTATAATTATACTAATAGCACTACTGATTTATTTGTAAATTTGTATACCTATGCTGTGCATTGTTGGGGGTCTGCAGGGTTTGTGTTCGTTTTTGAAAGTTTGGGATCAGCTTTTTAAATCTGTTTGTGAATGAATTTCACAGAATTTTTCACAGTGAAGACCAGTGTGCATCTCTGTCTCAACCTCACCTGATATACAGTGACCACGCAGTCTCTCTCTCTCTCACTCTCTCTCTCTCTCTCTCTCTCACACACACACACACACACACTCATACACACACACTTACCGTTCTTTTGTGGTTCTCCGACTTCCCTTAATGTTCATCACTTCCACTGTTTATCAGCTGATGTTACCAACTTCTATTCTGTATCTCTTACCGCATTCAGCAATTAATAGGCTCTATTGTGATGCCTGAGATGCTCCTGGGCCTCGTTTCACTATCCTACTGTTTAACAAGCCCTCGCCAACTTCCACTCACCACTCAGACGTGTGTCAGTGTGTCAACAGTGCAGAAGTGGCCACTCAGAGAGGAAGAGGGCACAGCGAGGAGTGGATTTTCAACCATAACGCACTGGCCTTCGGTCAGGTTAGCCTCAGAGAGCAAAGCTAGCCATGCAAACTTATGAAATATGTAATGAAATAGGTTTTTTGAAGACGTCTGAGTGGAGCAGATATATATATACCTAAACATACCTAAAATTAGCGAACGAGTGCTCTGTCTGGCGATAGGCATCGCTTTAAAGCTGTGGTGTAGCGTCTTTCTTTTTGTCATTGCTAGCTGTGTAACCTGTAGCTTGCTAACTGGCAAGCTAGCAGAGTAAAGTCATACAGTTACATCAGCAGCTGTAACAGATGGAGTGGCTTGTAACCCAAAGCCCAGTCTAAAAATAGCTAATTTAATGTTATAGGTTTGAAAAATGCACTAATTTCTTAACAAGGAACAGCATAAAATATTCCAATACTTCTGTGATATTTTTTAGCACTTCTGAACTCCAGTTATAGGACTTTTAACAGTGCCTTGACCTTCAGACCTCTTCACTCAGCCAGCTGATGAGCTGATCAGCTCACCAACCAATCAGCACTCAGTAGCAGTAACGCTAACCAATCAGCACTCAGTAGCAGTAACGCCAACCAATCAGCACTCAGTAGCAGTAATGCTAACCAATCAGCACTCAGTAGCAGTAATGCCAACCAATCAGCACTCAGTAGCAGTAATGCCAACCAATCAGCACTCAGTAGCAGTAATGCTAACCAATCAGCACTCAGTAGCAGTAACGCCAACTAATCAGCACTCAGTAGCAGTAACGCCAACCAATCAGCACGCAGCAGCTGTAACGCCAACCAATCAGAACTCAGTAGCAGTAATGCCAACCAATCAGCACTCAGTAGCAGTAACGCCAACCAATCAGCACTCAGTAGCAGTAATGCTAACCAATCAGCACTCAGCAGCTGTAACGCCAACCAATCAGCACTCAGTAGCAGTAATGCTAACCAATCAGCACTCAGTAGCAGTAATGCTAACCAATCAGCACTCAGTAGTAGTAATGCCAATCAGCACTCAGTAGCAGTGATGCTAACCAATCGGTACACAGTAGCAGCAGGTAATGCTGGAGTCCTGCACGCGAAAACCTGCATGTTGTAGAGAAACTGAAAGATGCTGCTGATTTTCTGTCATTTTTTGTGAAATACATACTTTTCCAAATTAAGGCGTTTCTGTGCAAATGGTTAGAAATGTTTAATGTTTTTGTTGTCAGCTGTTTAGCTCCAATTCACCCAATTCACTGGTGAATGCTGAAAACGTGTGGAATTCGCTCTCAGTTATCTGACTAAATGGGAAATCTTGGTCTGAAAACTTTGAAAGTTGTTGCTGTTCAATACTCAGTAATGCTGTTCTGTGTTTTCCTACTGGGTTGACATCACAGTGTAAAGCTTTCTAATGGCCTGGGACTGACTGCAGATGCATTTGATCGTTTCCTAATGGGATCTAAAGATGTCCTATAGGAAACTAGTGGTCTCCAATGGTAACCATCAAGCCTATACCTATCAGAAAGCAAAACCATCGGGTTCTAACCCTAATGGTTCTAAGGGTCTTTTTTCAGCAGGGTCTGTTTAGGCGTTATTTTTCTCCCCACCCGTTTTCCGACAAGCCCCGCCCACCGCGCTCAGCTGAACTGGAGAAAGTTTTCTCTCGCTCTGCTCTGGGCGGGGCCCCAGCCGAGCTCGCAGATGATTGGCTGCTGCTCCTTGGCTCCTCCCTCCAGCTGTCCTCCTCCAGATCTCAGCCTCGCGCAACGGCTGGAAGAAAAGAAACAGAAGCAGAAGAAGAAGGAGAAGAAGAAGGAGAAGAAGGAGAAGAAGGAGGGAGGAAAAGGAGGAGAGCGAGGGAGAAGTGCAGGAAAGTGGGGTCTACAGTCGCGCGTGCTCGAGGATGTCGCTCCTCGTGTTTTCACTTTCACGCGTTTTGATTTGCATATGACGGAGGGAAGAAATCAGCGCGCGAGCTGCGGTTGTTTTGGCCTACCTGGACCGTGAAGCTCTGACGGTTTTATTTTTTTCTCAGAAAACTCCACTCGCACACGCGCGCGCACCTCAGCCTGCTCCAGCACGAGCCTCCCTGCCCGCCGTACGCGCATGACTCGCGCGCGTGTGCTCGCGCGGCGCCCGTGACCGGAGGGGACGCCAGCCGGCCGTCCGTCTCTCCATCCCTCCCTCCATCTGTCCGTCCACACCGTCATGATCCTCCTCCTCGTGCCGCGCCTGCTGCTCGCCTGGCTCGCGCTCCACAGGCTCGGCGGCGCGGCGGCGGAACAGCAGCGCGCTTCCTCCGCGCGCGAGCGCTTCAAGGTGGTCATCGCGCCGCTCATCTGCAAGCGCACGTGCCTCAACGGCCACTGCCGGGACACCTGCGAGCAGGGCAACAACACGACCCTGATCGGGGAGAACGGACAGTCCGCGGACACGCTCACCGGACACGGCTTCAGAGTCGGTGAGTGGAGCCGTTTGGGAATTTTCATGGATTTGGGCTTTTTCCAAACGGATTTTCCCATTTTTCCCAAAGTTTGATCCGTTCTCTTAAACTCAAGCTGCTCCTGCTTGTTAGTTCACACTTAGAACAGATGGTTCTTCAAGAGTTCTTTAGTAAAGAAAACGGTTCTGTATAGAACCATGAGCACTCAAAGAACCCTTCGCATGATTAAATGGTTCTTTGAGTGTTCAAGGTTCTATAGAACCACTGTCTTACTAAAGAACCCGAGAAGAACCATCGTTTATAAGAGTGAGGAGCTGACCCAGAAGAATAAAATATGGTTCTTCAAGGGTTCTTTAGTAAAGAAAATGGTTCTACACAGAGCCATGAACACTCAAAGAACCATTTACGTGGTTAAAGGGTTCTTTGCATGGTGAAAGCGTTCTTCAGATTGATGGAGAATGTGCTGTAGATGGTTCTGTATAGAACTTTTTTGAAAATGGTTCTATGTAGCACCAAAAAGGGTTCTTCTGATACAAGCTTCACATCGTAACAATAAAAGAATGCTTTTTGGTGCTATATAGAACCCTTTTCAGACAGGCTCTATGTAGAACCATCTACATTAAATGATGCTGAGAACCCTTTAATCATGGAAAAGGTTCTTTGAGTTTTCGTGGTTCTGTGTAGAACCATATTCTTTACTAAAGAACCCTTGGAGAACCAACTTTTATTCATTTTCACTTTAGCCCTTTACATTTAGCTTTCGTTTAATTTCGTTCTATTGTTCTGGGTCAGCTCCTCACTCTTACAAAAGGTGGTTCTTCAAGGGTTCTTTAGTAAAAACTGTAGTTCTATATAGAACCATGAACGCTCAAAGTGCCGTTTGCGTGGTTAAAGGGCTCTTTGCATGGTGAAATGGTTCTTCAGATTGAAGGAGCATGTGTTGAATATGGTTCTATATAGAACCTTTTTGAAAAAGGTTCTGTATAGCTCCATAAAGGGTTCTGCTATTGGTACAAGCTTGACATCATAACAGTAGCAGAACCTTTGTTGGTGCCATATAGAAGCATATAAAACTTTTTCTCCATCAATCTGAAGAACCATTTCACCATACAGAGAGCCTTGTAAGCTCACAAATGGTTCATTGTGTTCATGGTTCTAATTAGAACTATTGTCGTTACTAAAGAACCTTTGAAGAACCGTCTTAAGAGCGGGGAGTGCTCTGCCGTTGCCCACACCTCTCACTGTCAAGCTTTAGCATTTTATTTTACGCTAAAAGGATCTAACAAAAAAAGAAGGGTCTAACAAACTGGACTCTGGAAGTTCTAAGAAGGTTCTCCGCAGTTCTCAGCACTTCAGGGTTTTTTGGATGTGATATTTTTGTTTTTTAAGTTCTTCTTGAGTCGTTACTTCACTGAAGTAACGGCTTGTTTAGTTAAGTATTTGTTCATAAACACAGAAAAAGCCCAAACTGCTGAAGTCGTCTCGCTCTTCTTTGTCTCGGTAGAGTCGTCACAGCAGCGCTGCAGATCATTCCAGCTGCTTTAGTCTCTAGTTTTGTGGAGAAAACTGATTTTCTTCTGGATGATCTCCAGATAGATTCATTATTTTTTTAAATCTGGAACGCCTTTCGTTCCCCTTCAGCCAGAAAATTATCCAAAGCATTTCAGTGAGGCGACTGCGCTGCCCTCTGAAAACAGACCGCTCTTGGTCTGTGTCACGCACTGCAGTTCCTGTTTAGGATGTTTGCTGAATTGAGTGTTTTAGGAGGTGGCTGAGAGTGGTAGAAAGTGAATAAGAAGGACTGAGATTTGTAGAGCAAATAAAAGTGGCTGTAATTAGTACAGAGTGAAAAAGAGTGCTTGAGATTAGTCAAGAGAGTGATTGGGGTGATTGAGATTTGTAGAGAGAGACAGAGATTGGCAGAGAGTGCGTAAGAGTGTTTGAGATTAGTAAAGAGAGTGATTGGAGTGATTGAGATTTGTAGAGAGTGACAGAGATTGACAGAGTGGAAAAGAGTGTGTAAGATTAGTAAAGAGAGTGATTGAAGTGATTGAGATTGGTAGAGAGTGAATAAGAGTGTGGATAAGAGTGGATACGAGTGTCTAAGATTAGTAATGAGAATTAATACAAGTGTTTGAGATTAATAGAGAGTGAATAAGAGTGTTTGAGATTGGTAGGGAGTGAATAGGAGGGCCTGAGATTGATAGAGAGTGAATAAGAGTGTTTGAGATTGGTAGAGAGTGAATAAGAGTGTTTGAGATTGGTAGAGAGTGAATAGGAGGGCCTGAGATTGATAGAGAGTGAATAAGAGTGTTTGAGATTGGTAGAGAGTGAATAAGCATGTTTGAGATTGGTAGAGAGTGAATAAGAGTGTTTGAGATTGATAGAGAGTGAATAAGAGTGAGATTGGTAGAGAGTGAATAGGAGGGACTGAGATTGATAGAGAGTGAATAAGAGTGTTTGAGATTGGTAGAGAGTGAATAAGAGTGTTTGAGATTGGTAGAGAGTGAATAGGAGGGACTGAGATTGGTAGAGAGTGAATAAGAGTGTTTGAGATTGGTAGAGAGTGAATAGGAGGGACTGAGATTGGTAGAGAGTGAATAAGCATGTTTGAGATTGGTAGAGAGTGAATAAGAGTGTTTGAGATTGATAGAGAGTGAATAAGAGTGAGATTGGTAGAGAGTGAATAGGAGGGACTGAGATTGATAGAGAGTGAATAAGAGTGTTTGAGATTGGTAGAGAGTGAATAAGAGTGTTTGAGATTGGTAGAGAGTGAATAGGAGGGCCTGAGATTGATAGAGAGTGAATAAGAGTGTTTGAGATTGATAGAGAGTGAATAAGAGTGAGATTGGTAGAGAGTGAATAGGAGGGACTGAGATTGATAGAGAGTGAATAAGAGTGTTTGAGATTGGTAGAGAGTGAATAAGAGTGTTTGAGATTGGTAGAGAGTGAATAGGAGGGCCTGAGATTGACAGAGAGTGAATAAGAGTGTTTGAGATTGACAGAGAGTGAATAGGAGGGACTGAGATTGATAGAGAGTGAAAAAGTGTGTTTGAGATTGATAGAGAGTGAATAAGAGTGTTTGAGATTGATAGAGAGTGAATAGGAGGGCCTGAGATTGATAGAGAGTGAAAAAGTGTGTTTGAGATTGGTAGAGAGTGGATAGGAGGGACTGAGATTGATAGAGAGTGAATAAGAGTGTTTGAGATTGATAGAGAGTGAATAAGAGTGTTTGAGATTGACAGAGAGTGAATAAGAGTGTTTGAGATTGGTAGAGAGTGAATAAGAGTGTTTGAGATTGGTAGAGAGTGAATAGGAGGGACTGAGATTGATAGAGAGTGAATAAGAGTGTTTCAGATTGATAGAGAGTGAATAGGAGGGACTGAGATTGATAGAGAGTGAATAGGAGTGTTTGAGATTGGTGGAGAGTGAATAGGAGGGACTGAGATTGATAGAGAGTGAATAGGAGTGTTTGAGATTGATAGAGAGTGAATAAGAGTGTTTGAGATTGATAGAGAGTGAATAAGAGTGAGATTGGTAGAGAGTGAATAGGAGGGACTGAGATTGATAGAGAGTGAATAAGAGTGTTTGAGATTGGTAGAGAGTGAATAGGAGGGACTGAGATTGATAGAGAGTGAATAAGAGTGTTTGAGATTGATAGAGAGTGAATAGGAGGGCCTGAGATTGATAGAGAGTGAAAAAGTGTGTTTGAGATTGATAGAGAGTGAATAGGAGGGACTGAGATTGATAGAGAGTGAATAAGAGGGCCTGAGATTGATAGAGAGTGAATAAGAGTGTTTGAGATTGACAGAGAGTGAATAAGAGTGTTTGAGATTGGTAGAGAGTGAATAAGAGTGTTTGAGATTGATAGAGAGTGAATAGGAGGGACTGAGATTGATAGAGAGTGAATAAGAGTGTTTGAGATTGATAGAGAGTGAATAGGAGGGACTGAGATTGATAGAGAGTGAATAAGAGTGTTTGAGATTGATAGAGAGTGAATAGGAGGGACTGAGATTGATAGAGAGTGAATAAGAGTGTTTGAGATTGATAGAGAGTGAATAGGAGTGTTTGAGATTGGTGGAGAGACTCTACTCTTAGAAAGTGACTAAGGTATGTGTTGTTTGAAGAGAGTGAATGTGAACTGAGGGACCCGAAGCCAGAAAAACAGTGAGTCTGACTGATCATCCACAAAAGTAAGGTTTGATGTGCTCATTCGTGATGCGCTTTACTGGAAATGCATGTGGTAAACTAAAAATAGTTTTCCTAAGAGTAACTGAGTGATCGAGGTTGGACGAGAGTGAATAAGAGTATTACAGATTTTACAGGTTGAGAGTGAGGGGTGATTAAGAATGGGAATGGATTAAGAGTGATTTAGATAAAATGAGAGTGAGTATGAGGAAGAGTGAGAGTGACTGAGAGTGAGTGACTTATTGAGAGTGAAAGTGAGAGTGCTAGAGAGAAAGTGATTAAGCGTGAGAGTAACTGAGCGAGTAAAAGTGAGGGAGTGTGCTTGAGATTGAGAGTGATGGCGAGTGAGAGTAAATAGAAATGAGAGTGATTGTGAATGAGGGTGAAAGTGATGGGGAGTAAGAGTGAGTGGAAGTGGGAATGAGTTAGAGTGATAAGGAGTAAGAGCAAGTGTGATTGAAGTATTGGGAGTGATGGAGAGTGATTGGCAGTGACTGATGTTGACCGATGGTGTTTCTTAGTGATTGATGTTGCAGAGTGACTGTTATTGACTGAGAGTGATGTGTACTGAAAGTGTTTCAGCTGATTGAGTGTCTTTTAGTGATTCATAATGAATGAGCAAGTTTTGGTGATTGATTTTCATAGCGAGTGTTTGATGCTGGTTAAGGGTGTTTCAGAGTGATTGATGGTGCGAGAGCTCCTGTGTGGCCTGATCTGCTCGTTCTGTATGTGGCTGTAAAGAGTGAAGCGGTGTGGAGGGCCTGTGTGGAGCTATGAGGCTAATGTAGCTAAAAAGTAATGGAGGCTTACATCCCATCAATTAGCATTGT